TATATATATATATATATATATATTTTTTTTTAATGTAAAACAGTGTTTTGCTAGAAGTGCTTGGGGAATCTGCTCAGAAACAAAAACTGGTGCATTGAGGGGCAGACCGGGTAATACTTACACTGGTCAGGCTTTTGACTAGGGCAAGCTCTGGGGTCCTAGGCTGTGGAGCAGGGATGAGAGGGAGCTGGCTGAAGCCTCTCTATTTTTAGTGCATGAGTGGCTGAGGAGAAGCATTCATGCAACTGAGCTGGGTGTGTTCCTGCCTGTGTAAATGTTTGTGTGACTGCAAGACTGGGAACAGTCTGCAGCTAGTCACAGCTTCACAGTGTGAGGGGGGGATCCAGACTGGTACACCAGAGGGCACAGCGGTACCCCAGTTCCAGGTTGTAGCCCAGGGAAGTCTGTCACAATGGCATGAGTGGGAAAAGGTACATGCAGACAGCCATATCACTGCCTTGAGTACACCATCTACTGGAACTTTGCTCACTGGAACTACGCTAATGAAGCGTACAGCCTGATGGAGCAGTTATTCTTGGTGTAGGAGAGCCTTTAGCAAGATTGTAGCAGATCTTAATGCAGTCAAAAATCTAGTGTGAGATTTGCTGAAAAGACACAGATTGACCCTTAGTTCTCCCAGCATAGGCTACACAAAGCTTGAGGGAAGTCCTGAAGGCTCCAGTGCAGTTCAAGTACAATGCCAGAGCCCTATGAACATCCCAAGTATAAAGAATTTTCTCAGCCTTAGGTGGATGGGGTTTGAGGAAAAACACCAAAAGACAATGTTTGATTTAGATAGAAAGCTGACATTAACCTTAGACAAACTTAGGAAGTGGCCTAAGGGAAACCTTATCCTTATGGAAGACTGCGAAAGGAAGGTCAGTTAGAGCCTTATGTTCTAAAACTCTCCTTGCAGAAGTGATTGTCACAAAAAAACCTTTGTCTTAGACCAGGGGTGGGCAAACTTTTTGGCCTGAGGCCACATCGGGGTTCCAAAACTTTATGGAGGGCTGGGTACGGAGGGCTGTGCCTCCCCAAACAGCCTGCCCCCCGCCCCCATCCATCCCCTCCCACTTCCTGCCCCCGGACTCTGCCTCAGAAACCCCCACCCATCCAACGCCCTTGCTCCTTGTCCCCTGACTGCCCCAACCCCTATCCACATTGCCGCCCCCTGACAGGCCCCCGGGGCCTCCGTCTATCCAACCCCCCCGTTCCCTGTCCCCTGACAGGCCCCCCAGAACCTCCACCCCATCCAACCCCCCTCCCTCTCGCCCCCTTACCATGCTGCTCAGAGCAGCACATCTGGCAGCTGCGCCACCCGGCCAGAGTCAGCGACGACGACGTGCTGCCTGTCAAGAGCTCGCATCCCCGTCGCCCAGAGCGCTGCCGGCACGGCGAACTGAGGCTGCGGGGGAGGGGAGACAGCAGGAGAGGGGCCAGGGGTTAGCCTCCCCAGCCAGGAGCTCAAGGGCCCGGCTGGACGGTCCTGCAGGCTGGATGTGGCCCGGGGGCCGTAGTTTGGCCCCCCCGTCTTAGACAATAAAGAATTAAGTTGTAGCCATAGGGTCAAAGAGGGGGGCACCTATGAATTTGGAGAGGACTAGATTTAAATCCCATAGAGGTACAGGGGCGCAGACAGGATGGTAAACATTGATTAGGTCTTTCAAAAATAGAGAAATGAGCAGATAAGAGAAAATGGAAAATTCATCTATTGTCAGATGTAAGTAAAAAAAAAAAAAAAACAAGCTGAACTCACAGAACTAACTGAAATGCCTAACAATTTCAGGTGTAAGATATAGTCTAGCATGTGTAATCTCCATATGATGGGTTGAGAAATGCTGGGATTGCAACTAAATCAAAAATCTCCTCTACTTCACTGTGTACGTGACCCTAGAGGACTCCTTTCGGCTGCTTACCAACATGGTCTGAACTTCTTGAGAGCACAGGTTTTTTTTGCAAATATTCAACCAGAGATCACCTATGCCATAAAGTGGAGAGCCTTCAGGTTGGGATGCAGAGACTTCCCTTGATTCTGGTACAGAAGATCTTTGACTAGCAGTAAAGTTATGGGCGACTGGAAGGAAAGCTGATGGAGGTCCATGAACTTGTACTATCTTGGCCATACCAGTGCAGTAAGGATTAATCGTGATTGGTCTTGTTTCAGCTTCTTGATTTCCCTCACAATCAGAAGAACTGGAGAAATGAATACAGGAGATGACTGGACAATGGAAGAAGAAAGGCGCCTGTGATGGAATGTGGGCTGCAACCTGCCCGGGAGTAAAATCTCATGCACTTGTTGTTCAGGTTGATCGTGAACAAGGCTAATACTAGGTACCCCCAGCAATGGAAAAAACTGGAGAACATCCTTCCTAATTGTCCACTCCTGTTGGTCTATGAAAACCCTGCTGAGGATATCCACTTCCATATTTCTCACTCCTAGAAGGTGAAAGACCTTCTGAAAACTTTGGGACAAATGCACAAATTACATAGGATAATAGACTCCTGGCACAGTTGAGGTGATCTTGCACTTCCCTCTTTGTTCAGGTAAAACATGGTAATGTTGTTGTCTGTAAGAACTTGTAACATCTGGTTCTCGACAGTGGGCAAAATATCTCACAGGCCAGACTACGAGCTCTGAGCTCCAGTGCATTTATGTGCAGTGAAACTTCCTGGGGTGACCAAAGAGCTTGTCAGGAGTTGGCA